CACGGGCAAGTGTCTGTATAGGGAATAGGCCCCTCTGCTTTCAACTTGTTCTGGGGTTCACTGGCTGGTGAGGTTGGTAGGAGTCTCGGCCATCTGGCTGCTGGCTCTGGGAGCAGGTGAGAGAATTTGGCCACGGAGGATGAGGGGAGAAGGGAGAGGTGGAAACCACTGCATCAAAGCCTGAGGACAGAGCTTTGTCATTTGTTCAAGGAAATGTCATCTCAAATTTGATGCTTGTTGAGCTTCAGAAATGGGGGCCATACCTCAAGTATAACCAGGAGCTCCCGTCCTTAGGAGAAAGCCAGGGTTCCACGTCACAGGTGTTTGTGTGTGTGTGTGTGGTGTGTGTGTATGTATGTGTGTGCGCCTGTGCCTATTGGGCACTAGCTGGAGCTGTGGAGCTGCCCAGGTGCCATCACAAGCCCTTCAGCTTTGGTGGACCCTTGGGGAGCTCAGGGGACATAGGATGGGAGTGAAGAAAGATGGGGGTCTGTTGGATTGTCAGAAGCTCCCTCCCCATCTTCTTGTCTTCCCAGCTATGACTGGGGACCAAGACACCATTGTCCATTCCAGGTAGCCCCCAGTGGGCTTAGGTGTGTGGACATGGAGTCCATGGAGACCTAGAGGCTGCTCCATGGGGACAGTGATGTGGGAGTGAAACTACAGTAAATACATTGCAAGAAACTCCTGTCCAGAGGTTCCCCTTGTTACTCCTTCCTCCCCCTGACCCCATCTAGGCCAAGCCCTGCAGCTTAACAATGGGGAAACAGAAGCCCAGAGAGGAAATGGGACTGGCCCAAGGAGTTGAACCTGGACCTCCTGTCTCTTGGCCCTGTGCTCATTCCCTTGCCTGGGAAGATGAAGCTCTTGCTTGGGGACACCTTTCATGATAGTGTGGAGTCATGTTCCTGAGTGAATGAAGCCAACTTCATTCAATGTAGCAATGCCTGTGGATTGGAACAGTCATAGTAGGCTTCCTGGAAGAGGAAGTAAAGTCTGGTTCACCTGAGAGGGTAGGTGAGGTACAGGCTGCCCTTGGGCAGCAGCGAGCAAGTTTGGCTATGTTGTCATGTCTCCCGCTTGCTGAGCCTCTTTGGGGCCTCAATTTCATCTTATCTTGTCCTCATGACGGTTTGAGAATGTTTCTTCTCATTCTCACTTTATAGACTTGTTCGTTAAATCTACAAATATTATCTGAGCCAGTGCTCTGTGCCAGGCTCTGTGCCCCAGTACTGGGACCCAGAGGTGAGCAGGCAGACTGGCTATGGTCTGTGGGCCTGCAGTGTGATGAGGGAGGCAGTGCAGTGCCTGCCTGGCTTGGGGAACAGCGTGTGATCTGGGACCAGCTACTTCCCCTCTTTGTGCCTCAATTTCTCATCTAAAAAATGGTGATAATAAAGTTCTTTCCTCCTAATATTTATAAAGTGCTCCAGACAGAGCCAGCACATTGAAACTGCAATATCTGTAAGTGTGTGTTTAAAGAGTCGTCAGAGGAACAAGCTAATTGCAGGTTGTGAGCAAGTGCTGCTCAGAAGGTAGAAAGGGCTATGACGTGAGAGCTTTCTGGGGAGCTCAGAGTGTTTTCTGTCTTGTTGGGGGTATGTGTCCCAGGGATGTATCCAGTTGTCACAACTCATTGAACTGGACCCTTGAGACCTCTACATTTTACTGTAGGTAAATTGTACCCCAATAAACAAAGCATATATATAAAGAATGAAAAAATAAAGGGTGAAGAAAGAGGGACTCTTGAAGTCCTTTCTAGACAAGGTGGTCAGGGAGGGCTTCTGAGAGGAGGTGACATTGATGGGAGTCCTGGAGGAGGAGAAGTTTCTGGGTATGGGGAAGAAAGATGAGGAGAGGCTCTAGGAGCTTTGGGGCTATGTTCAGCGTCAACCCAAAGAGTCAGGAGTGACAGCTCAGGGGATTTCTTGGCAGTTGGCCCTGGGTCGGCTCAGGTCCAGGGCTCTGGCTCCTGTGATCTCCCCTGCAGAGAAGCCAGTAGGGACATTTATTGTTTCATCTGGGGACAGCCCTCTCCCTGCCCCATGCCTATTCTCAGGGCCTTGGCACTTGGAGGACTATTTTAATCCATGTGGGAAATGGGTTCCTAAATATGGACTGAGGCAGGAAGCATTGAGAGGCTCCAACTCAGAGCAGCTCCACCTGCTCCTCCACCTCAGCAGAGCACAGGGTGCAGGCCCAGGCTGTGAGGCTCTCTGGCCCCTCCTTGGCCATCTACCTCCCTGCACCTCTCCCTCTTGTACCTTCTGCCCCCCTCCAGCCCCATGCCCATCCTCCCATCCTTTATTTGCTCAAAAGCCCAATGTTTCCTGCCACTCCCCAGCCAGGGACCCCCAGGTTAACCTAATCTGCCTCTACCCTCAAGCTGCTCCCATCCTAGTAGGAGGAACAGAGGCAAAAACATTGGGAGAGGTGCTGGGAGGATTTTCCAGAGGCAGAAACTGGGCCCAGGTTTCTCAAAAAGAAAGAGTTGACCCAATGGAGAAGGTGGGGCAAGAATGCAGGTGGCAGAGACCAGCATAGTCAGAGACATGGAGACTTGAGAGAATGAGGCCTGTTTGGGAACAAAAGGTACATCATTCTGGCTAGAAAAAAAGTAGTTTGTGACCAGGAGTTGCAGGAAATGGGGTGGGAGAGGAAGATAAGCCCTGAGTGCCAGGGGAGGAGGTGATGTTTATCTGGAGGACATGGAGAAGTGGTCAATGGCCACTGGTGGAGATGAGGCAGAGGGAGAGAGGCAGGATCCCATTGAGAATGTCCACCTGTGGGCTCAGGTTTTATGAGAAGAGAGAGGATTTTCCCGTGGGGTGAGATGCCAGCCTAGGAAGCCTGATAGGAGATGGTCAAGTCAGGCTGGGAAGGAGGGGATGGAGCAGGGCAGGGGGAAAGTTAGGAGGGAAAGGAGTAAAGGGGTGCAGTGAGGGAGGTTGGTGCATCTTGGGTCCTGTGGCTAAGGACTGGGGTATCCCTGGCTCGAGCTGCCTCAGGACACAGGGGAGGCCAGCTGGTGTGGTGAATGGGGGTGGCCGAGCCCTCTGTGCCCAGCACTGTGAGAAGAAGCTAGTGCTCAGGAGCTGTGTGGGCAGATGGAGGGGTGCCCTGGGAGGCAAGGACAGCAGGAGCAAGGGACCCATAGTGTCCTGGCTAGGAGCGTCTGTCCAGAGCAGCCTCCATACACACCCATGGCCTGGTCTGGTTAATGGAGCAGGGACACCAGAGCTGGTAGAGGGCGTGTCCAGCCCTTGGCTTCCTGTACTCCTTGCACCAGGCTGGGGTTGAGGAGGGCAGCTCCAGAGCTGGAGGAGCAGCCAAGGGGCAGCAGATTCAAGAAACCACTGCCTTCCTCTCCACTCCCTGGGATGCCACTTACCCGAATTTACCTTCACCTAGAGAGCTTTGTCCCAGAGCCTACCACCCATGGTACCCCATGTAAAGTAGCTTGGTTCACCCCATCCTGCAGAGGAGGAAACTAAGGCCAGGTGCAACCCACAGTTCTGAGGCTGTTGAGCAGGGCAGGGCAGATCCAAGCTCTGGGCTTGGACATCAAGCCTGGTCTTCAGCCCTTCTCAGTTAGGAAAGAAAATGTGGCTGGGCCTTGGGTGCACAACCCTGCCAGGGGATGGCTTGTCTCTGCTCTCCCCATTCTGGGCCATCTCCCCTTGCATGCTGACTTCTCCTCCCACTACAGCTTCTCCGATCAGTGGTACTCCAGGGCCTTGCTCATTTCCGATGATCTATCTTATGGTTGGCAGCCGTGGGCTAGGGTTGAGTTAACCTGAGCAAGGATCCTGACACCCGCCCACCTAATGCCTGCCTTGCTGTGATGCATCCTGTGGAGATGACTTATTACTCCATTTTACAGAGTTGTGGGCTGTGGCTTGGAGCTGTGAATGTTCCATGAAGTCACACGGAGTCGTCGGCGGAATTCAATCCCAAACCCGCATCTCACTCTATCTGACTGTCGTCTCCCTCAGCTAGGGTTTTCTGCCCCCAGTCTCTACCTCTGGATCTTCACCTGGGGTCTGTAGGCATGGGATGAGGGTGGAGGCTGGGCAGTCAGGTCACCTTGAGGTGGCCCCACCTCTCCAGCAGTGAGGGTGGTATGGCTGCCCTGGCCCTGCACAGCAGTTCTCAGGGAAGCTACCGTGTTACCCTGGAAGCTGGGGACTGACTGGGTGGTCATGATCAAACAACTCATTTTAGAAGCCCTTCTTTTAGTAATGACAGTTTTATTCCCACACCCACTCCTGGAGAATTTGAAGTCTTAATTACTGTCATTCCTGTAGCAGTGTGGCCTGTCTCTCTCCAGTTTGGGCTGTGTTCCATCATGAGGGATGGACTCATGGACACAGGCCTCAACCCCTGCTTGAGGAAGCCTGCCGTCATGCTGCAGCACTCTGCTGGTCACACTAAGACTTGCGGGGCAGATTTGCATGTCAGCACAGCCCTAGTGTCCTCTGCTTTGTTTTTGTCTCGCACAGAGGTGCTGGATGAGGATCATAGAGAAGGTGCTGAGGGTGCCATCCTGTGCACTCTACATGCATAATTCACAATTCTGGCCTTGGTAATGGAGTAACTGTATCATCCCCATTGTAAAAATGAGGCTCGAGGGATGTGTGCCTCTGGCTTGGGGTCCCATGGCTGATGTGTGATTTGACTACAAAACCCACTCAATTTCCACTTCATTTGCTGCCCCTGAGAAGGGGCTTCTCTGGCCTCTGGGCCTCTCTAGTCTGTCAGCCACTTCCCAGATCATCCCTGAGCTACCAGCCAAGCTGTTTGAGCACAGGGCTGACCCTCAAGTCCAGAGGCTCATTAGACCACGAGTCAGGGAAACCTGGATTCGAATCCTCATTCTGCCATCATATGCTGTGTGACCTTGGGCAGGTCACAGGCCTCTTTAAGCTTACTTGTTTTTTTCTGCAAAGTAAGGGCAGTGGGCTCTGAGCCTGACATTCTCTGTGCCTGCACACCTACAGCTCCTGTATGACAGCCCCAAGGCCCGGCAAGAGGTGGACCACCACTGGCAGGCCTCGGGTGGCCCCCACATTGTGAGCATCTTGGACGTGTATGAAAACATGCATCATGGCAAGCGCTGTCTCCTCATCATCATGGAATGGTATGTCATCCCACTTTGCCTTGGTGCCCCATTGGTACCTCTGTGGCCCCTAGGCTTCTAGGAGCTTTCTCTGTTCTTCAGATAGCAGCTCTGGGTGCCACCTCAGCCCCTGAGGGATAGTGGAACATGGGCCCCATGTGTGGGTCCCCAGCTCCTCCCTGTCTGCCTTTTAAGTCCTCCCTCCCCCCACAGGTTAGCCAGCTCTTAAGATTTTGAGTTTATATCCTGGTTCTGCCGCCCACTAGCTGTGTGACCGTGGGCAGCTGCTAACCTCTCTGAATCTCTCTAAGGCACATGTAAAATATAGAGGAAGATCTTAATGTAGTATTCATTCTGTGTCTGACTCCATTCTAAGTGCCCCATGTGTATCACATATTCAATTTTCATGACTGTGTGAGGTTGGTGCTATTATCCCTGTTTTACAAGAGGTAGCTGAGGCACAGGGAGGTAAAGAAAACAGCCCAGGGTCACACAACAGTGTGCCTGAAAGGTGGAGCCCAGGGCACAGCACAGAGTAGGAGCTCACAGAACAATGGTCATGATGATAATTGACATCTCATTCCATGTTTGAGGAAACTGAGACTTGGATGAGGTTGGAGCTGCCTAAGACCTACCAGCCAGATAGGGATAGTGTCACTGGAAACACAGGGGCTTCCCAGCAGGGATCAGAACCCACCACCCTCTCCTAGTTCTAAGAGTTCAGTTCAACCCATCCAAGCTGACAGCTCACCAGGTACCAGGTTCTGCAAGGCACAGGGAGGCTGACAGTGGCTATTCTCCTGGGAAGAAGCAGTAGGACCTGACACTTGGGCCAATGATTCAGGGCAGAGGCAGGTTGATGCCCGATTCTCCCCCTCTCTGCTTACAGTCACATTCTCTTCCAGCATGGAAGGTGGTGAGTTGTTCAGCAGGATTCAGGAGCGTGGTGACCAGGCTTTCACTGAGAGAGGTATGTACACACAGCCGGACCAGTGGTGGATTCAGGGTAAGAGGGACATACCAGAGTTGCTGGGCAAGGCCCTGCTTCTCTCTCTGCCTCAGTCTTCCCATCTGAACAAGAGAGGGTGGGAGAGAGTGTCCATGACTCCAAGAGGTTCTGTGAGTCTGTGAGACCTTATTGGAGATGAACGCTTGGGATGGAGGCCTCAAAGTCTCTTGGTGCTGACCAGCAGTTGAGTTGGAGAGAGATAGCTTAGGCCTGAGAAAAGAGGTCCAGGTAGGTTGGGGGCATCCTTGGAGTAAACTGGGGTGTCTGGGAGTTCTGGGACAGAGGTTCTGGGTACAGGAGTGCTGTTGCCATCTTGTGCTGGCCTGCTAGATGGTGCCCAGGAGGGATGATAGGGTGGGAGCTCCCAGGTTACCTGACCTTTGGGTAGCATCACTGATCCCCTCCCCCTGTCTGTGTCTTCAGAGGCTGCAGAGATAATGCAGGATATTGGCACTGCCATCCAGTTCCTGCATAGCCAGAACATCGCCCACCGAGATGTCAAGGTGAGGCTCCAGGACCCAGGTTGGGGAACCAGGGGAAGGGGTACTATCCCACTCCATAATCCCTGATGGTTCCCAGCACCTGCTGCATGGAGGCCAAGTTCCTTGGTCAGCATTCACAGCCTCTGCTCCCTGGCCCAGACTACTCTTAGCTTCTTCTCTCATGGTTTCAGCATACTCATTCTGCTCTTACCAGATGGGTCTCCTTGTTTGCTTTAAATACTGTGTATTCCCAATAGTCATAACAATTACTGAGTGACTACCTCAACCCAGTAGGCCTTGACAAGCATCTTGTTTAATCCTCACCCAGCCCTGTGAGATAGATGCCATTATCCATTTTACAGATGAGGAAACCGAGACTCAGAGGGAGATTAAGTGGCTTGCCTGAGGCTGTGTAGTTACTGCACTGAGATTCATTCATTCATTTGTTCACTTGTTTAGTAAGAAATTTTGTGTACATGCAATGTGCCAGGTCTCAGGCAGGGGCTTCCTGGTACTGTTGGGGCTTCTGGGAGGTCACAGCCAGACAGATTACACCCTCTAACTACAGCATTTTAAGGGAAAGAAGCCATTTGCTGGGCACTGGAGGAAGGAACAGAGGAAGTCCCAGTTGCTGGGCCTGCTTGCTCTTCCAGTAAATGGCTTTGAGGGACGTTCTGGAAGCTCAGCTGTCCAAATATGCTATACTGGAAGGACTGGGTCTTAGAGGTCATTGCAATCAGATGAATGAAATGCAAACTGATGCAGCCTTGCATACACATGCACACATGCATGTGCGCACATAAACATGTATGTGTGAGCCACAATCAGAACAGAATCTGCACCTCCTTGGCCCTCTGCCCCAGGCCTAGAGCCATTTTCCTATTGGCTTATTTCCTCCCAAGACTGGGCGGAAGAGAGCTGAGGGTGCACTTGCTGCCTCAGGCCCTTCCTCTGGCTGAGGACTCCCAACCTGTGCAGTTATCCTTGGATTCTGGATACATGTGGAGCCACAGCAAACTCACCTTCTGAATCCTAGCTTTACCTTGGCCCTGGCTTCTTGTTTTCCCAAGAGGAGAAAATCCTTCTGCAGAAGAGATTCCCTTGTATTGACTAAACCTTCTTCTCTGTTTGAATTCCAATCCAAGGTCAGATCATCTCAAACAGAACCTGAGAAATAGATTCCACAGGCTCCAAATGGGAGCTCCATTTAACACCCTCTTCTTCTACCTCAGCTGTACTTGGGGGTCCCTCATGCTCCTCTCCATGAGCTTAGATCCTATTTGTTCATTAAAAGCCAGTTTCAGGGCTACCTCCTCCATGTACACCTCTCCACCGTCCTCATCTGCAGTGCCTCTCTGTACTTTACAACCAGAAAGACTTGTCTCTGTGCAGCTCCTGGAGTCTGGACCGTGGAGGCCTTCTCTCCTGCAGTTGTTGTCCTGTGGGTCCTGTGGGCTTAATTTTGGGCTGGGTGTGGGAAATGTGCTTGGCAGCACTGGCTCTGAGCAGTCTGCCTTCCCTCCGTGGCACCCTCATTCTGGCATTTCATGGCAGCATCACCGACTCAGGATCAGAAGTTCCTACCCCTAGGCTCTCTATGGCACTTGGTCATTCCAGCCTTGGCTGAACACCCGCCTCACTTTCCCCACTGTGGATGAAGGTGTTATGTTGATCCTCTCTGTATTTGGCCCACATTGTTGGTGGCCAAGGCCTAGGTGTTTTTATGAGATGGACCTGGCTCCTTCTGCATTGGGATGGAGGGGAGGGAGTCTGAAGATCACTTTGGGGCTCTGCTCCCGCATGATACCTAACTCCAAACCAATATTTTCCCTTCCCGGCCTAGCCTGAAAACCTGCTCTACACATCCAAGGAGAAAGATGCAGTGCTTAAGCTCACCGACTTTGGCTTTGCCAAGGAGACCACCCAAAATGCCCTGCAGACACCCTGCTACACTCCCTATTATGTGGGTGAGTTCTTGGGACATGGTTTGTACCTTCCCACCCTAACTATACACTGTATGGGGCAGGCAGTGGGTTGCAGAAACCAAATGGTTAAAGCCCAGTGAGAAGGGAGGGGAAGAATTCTGTCTGCATGGAGGTGGGTGAGGTGGGGGGCCGGAGGCTGCAAAAATATTCTCCCAAACTTCAGCTTCTGCTTTTGAAAATAGATCCAGGAAAATTCTGGCTGTGGCCTGTTAGCTGAATGACATCACAGTAGCTCTAAATATATATGTGATGAAAGGCTGCCATCAGCTTGGGACAGAGCCCAACCGTGGTTGTTTTTCTCCAGTTTTTATCTTCCTGGGATTCATATTCAGAAAGTGGGCAGGCCTTTCCTCCTACTTTAGAGGGACACAGGGTACCGGCTACCTGCCTTGTGAGAGAGGGTCCCTTAGTCCAGGGCATGGATGGGGCCTGGGGGCATACACATACTCATGCTTCCTGGAAAAGATCCCTTCTCCCCTATAACTAGGGAGCCCCCAGATCTGGAAAAGCCCCTGCCAAAAGTGCCCCTTGCCTGAGAATGAGGTGATGACATAAGGCTCATCTCCCTCAGGAGAGACCTTCTGGGAGGGCTGCCGAAGGGGTGGCAAGCCCTCTGAGACAACTGAAATGGCACCCTCTTTACTAGTGTGTATATTGCAGCATTTTTACTTAGAAATCTTCTGGCCTGCACACCTCATTGCATAGATAGGAAGACCAAGGCCCCATGGGTTGGTGGCCAAGCTGACAGTGGAATGCAGAGCACTGCTCCCAGCTCCTCCTTGCCCATGACCTAGCTGTGCATTCAGGGAGGCAAGGATACAGGGCAGCTGGTGGGCTGAGGCCCTCCTTGCTTATGTCAGGACCCACTTGCCCTCTTCTACCTCAAGCCAGAGACTGGCCTTCTCCTCCTCTTCTCCCTCACCAAGGTTGAGACTGGCAGAGGGGCCCAGGGCCCAAAGGAGCTAGGGGGCTGTCTGCAAGTGGTTTATTTTTTCTGGGAGCTTTTTTTTCTCCCTCAACTTCACACACATGCTGCCTTCCTAGAAGGTGCCAGACACCAGTCTGCTCTGCCCTACCTCCCAGCCTGGGCACCTGCTCCCCACCTTGCCCAGGATTCAGGCTCCCACCTGGGCTCCAAGACCCCTGGAGCTGAGAGTCCTCCTATGCCCTCTGCCTTGGCAGCCCCTGAGGTCCTGGGTCCAGAGAAGTATGACAAGTCGTGTGACATGTGGTCTCTGGGTGTCATCATGTACATTCTGTGAGTACCATCCCACCCCCTGCTTCCACTTCCTGCCCCCACCCCCACTATGCACCCTCAGTACCACTTCTGCCTGCCCCCCTGCCATGTCCTGGTGCGGGGCTTGTGTGCCTCACTCCTCGTGTAGGCTGCCCTTCCCTTCTGATCAGGGGACCCCACTCCTTTAGGCTGCCCGATAGACTCCCCATGCCAAGGGCTGATGGCATTCCTGGGATGTGCCCAGGAGTCCAGAAGTCTGGTATTATTGCCATTGTGTCTGGCTGTCTGTCTTCCCACTTGGGGGTTTGGGGTGGAGAATGGGTCCACGCTGGCACTGTCCCCTACCCCTATGATGAATGACTTCCTCCCTCCCCCAGCCTGTGTGGCTTCCCACCCTTCTACTCCAACACGGGCCAGGCCATCTCCCCAGGGATGAAGAGGAGGATCCGCCTGGGCCAGTATGGCTTCCCCAATCCTGAGTGGTCAGAGGTATCTGAGGATGGTGAGTGAACTTCTCTGCCCCAGCCTGTCCCCCAGGCTCCTGTGGCCCTCATTCTGGGAGACATTACTTTGGTGTCAAACTAACCTATGTTCAAATTCTGGCTCCCCTACTTCCCAGCTGTGTGACCCTAGGCAGGTCACTTAACCTTTTTGAGCTGCAGTTTCTGCATATGCCAAATGGGCTCAAAACTTGCCTCCTCAAAACTACCTCTAACTCCTATTCCCTGTTCATATTTTTCCTTCTGGGGAACATAAACAAGTCTGCCCTGTATTAGTTATCTATTGCTTCTTAACAAGTTATCCAACAAGAAAGTTGTAAGCTCACCATTTCTGTGAGTTAGGAATTTGGGAGCACCTCAAGCCCTTGCCCCAACAGAACTTGTGGTCTGTGGGAAAGTGTGGGGAGACTGATTCTGAGGAGCCCTGAAACCTCACCTCTCCCCTCCCGTCCCTGACCTCCCCAGCCAAGGAGCTGATCCGCCTCCTGCTGAAGACAGACCCCACAGAGAGGCTGACCATCACACAGTTCATGAACCATCCCTGGATCAATGTGAGCACCTCCTCATCCCACACTAGGCAGGCTGTCAAGCTGGAGCAGGGCTGCCCGGCAGGAGGGTGGGGGCTCTGGAGGCCCTGGTGTATGGCTGGAATGGGCCTGTGCTCACAGATGTGTAGTAGTGCCTCACCTACAACCTGGCTTTGCCCTTGCCCCAGTCAGGCTTCTTTACCTCTTTGAGCCTCAGTTTTCCCATCTGAGACTGGGAGGAGGAGGTGGGTGGGGGAGCCAGTGCTGTTCCAATTGTCTCCAGGTTCTAATCCATGGTCTTGGGGTTCCTTCCAGCAATCAATGGTGGTGCCACAGACCCCACTCCACACAGCCCGAGTGCTGCAGGAGGACAAAGACCACTGGGATGAAGTCAAGGTGGGTGGACTCTGCCTTGGTCTCCCTGAAGATTCCAGAGTTTTGGAAAAAGGGACTCCAGGGTGGGTGGCTACCTGTGCCTGAAGCACAGGGCATCAGTGACTGCCCCTGTGGTCCAACCGTGGCACTCTGAGCGTTTGGCTGCACTACCGCAATTCAAAGTGGTGCTCCTGGCTCATAACTTCAATGAAGAGGAGCTTTGGGCCAGGGGCTTAGTCAAAGGGCTTTGGCCATAACCTCTCTTACAACCAACATTTGGGAAGGTGGTCAGCCTGGTTTTAGACTCAGTTGAGGCCAGGTTTGAGCATATGGGGTAGCTCAGAGCCTTGGGGCATATAGGGTACAATCTTCAGGCCCCAGTGCCCTGGGTATCCAGCAAGATGGCATTCTCTGCAGGCCTTGTGGTTCTGAGCAGGTGGCATGAGTTCAGTACTCTGTCCCACTCACCCTCAGTGTGGTCCCAGGGAGTCAGTATCCTTTCTGTGCCTTCATGGAAAGCTCAGTGTCCACCACAAAGGGCTATAGTGAGGATTATGTGATATGAGGGGCTTGGCCCAGTAGTGGGCACTAGAGCAGTACAGGCTGTCACTGCCATCAATGATGTTATTAAGGGGCTGCCTAGGCAGGTGGGTGATGGCTCTTAAGGTCAGTACATCCTGACCTGTTAGTGCCCCCTACCACATCTGTTCCCAGGAGGAGATGACCAGTGCCCTGGCCACCATGCGAGTGGACTATGACCAGGTGAAGATCAAGGACCTGAAGACCTCTAACAACCGGCTCCTCAACAAGCGGAGAAAAAAGCAGGCAGGCGGCTCCTCAGCCTCACAGGGCTGCAACAACCAGTAGCTCATGGGGCCTTGGAGAAGCCACGCCTCTCAGGCTGGGTGACAGACTGGAGTGTGCTGAGGACCCTGAATTATTCTTTTAACAAAAGGATTATTTCGTTTTGTTTTAATTTGTTGCTTGGAACTTCAAGATGGAAGACCGTGACCTAAAACCTCCTTCAGGGCTTCAGCCCAGGCTCAGAGCCTAGAGAGGGGCAGAGCCTAGGGGCTGGGGAGCCACCTACTGCAGCTGCAGTGCTTTTGGCCAGGGTGGCCTGAGTGAGGGCTCAGTTCTATCTTACCCTGGGGGCATGTCTTTCACCTTCTAGGCCACTGGGAGTTGTGGCTGGGCTTCCCTTCTTCCACGGAGACACCCTCCTGCAGGGTGGGCAGATGGGCCCAGCCTTGAGAAAGGCATTGGCCACTGGTTGTCATGGTGACCAGAGACAGTGTTGCTATCTGTGAATGCTGAGTGAGTGAGCAAGGGGGGGGAGGAGGGGCAACCGAGCATCCACCTCTTCCTTCTTGCAGAGGCTAGTCTCTCTCACACTGGCTGCACTTCTTAGGCTCACCCCTCTTCAGTCTCCCTGAGGCTGCATGGTCCAGTCTGCCTGCCTCCCTGGGTGGTCCATTCCTGCCTTGCTGCAGCCCCAGCCCAGATGGTACTCAGATTTCTCCCTACAAGGAGTCCCTGGGCCTAGCCATCCTGTCAGTACCTCCTAACCAAAGGGTGGTTTCTCATCACAACTGAGGTAGGGGGTATTTTTAGCCTTTTTCCACTTTGGAAAATGTCACTGTGACAAAAGCTAGTACAGTTCCCCTGCCTCTACCTGCTCACCAGATCCCAGGCAAGAAAGCCCCTCTCTGTTGATACCAGAGGTTGCCTTTTGGAGATCTTTTGTGAGTGGATGGTTGGGGGAAGGGCAAAGAGGCTCCCCATTAACCGGGGGTCTCTTTCTATACTCTGAGTCAGACCTGAAGTGGTAGAGGGCTGCTGAGCAGTGTTCAGAAAGAAGGTTCTGGTCCTGACTTTGGCCTAAGTCAGAACAGAGAGGGCCCTTTTCTGGCTGATCCGGGTTTACCCAGCCCCACTCTGCTCAAGGTAGCCTCTGAGTGCTGAGTGCCTGATAAGAGCCTGACAAGTGCCTGACACCTAGCCTTGTTCCTGGCCCCTCTCTCCCTGTGTAGGAAACCCTAAACTATGTCAGGACAACACTGCTGGGTTTTACACCCAGATATTAATAAACACCATTTTGGCATTTTCCCCCAGTTTCTGGGTTTCTCTTTGTCAGGGGTGGACAAAAGTGGCCTGAGGGCAGATGCTCACTAGGGGTTTCACCCCAACTGGAGAGGTTGCCTCAAGCCTTGTAAACATGCCAGGCCGACTCCAGGGCCACTGCATCCTCACTAGGCATGGAAAGGTCAGAGGAGCTGAGGGATGGCAGCATGCCCCCAGCTCTGTGCCGCCCCTGTGCACTGTATATGATGTGACACCCACCCCCGGCCCTGTGTGTGCCAGCGTCTGCCCACAGTGGCCACCCCCAGCTGTGTGCCAACCTGCTGAAGGGCAGGCAGAGTGCCTGCTGCAGCACTGAGCTATTTTCAGAAGCTGCCAGATTTCATTTGGCAGCAAGAATATCAGGGAGGGAAGGGGATGGAATGCTGGAAGACTGTCTTTTGACTACTCTGGCAACAGAGCACCATAACCCCTTGGGAGCCCTTGCAGGCAGCCTCGAGCAGGGCCCTCACTGTGGCATTTCTCCCCCAGCTCCTATCATGAAACCTTCTAGTTTTCCAAGAGCTCATCTGGTGCCTGCAGCACCCCTCCTCGGTCCACCCCCCCCCCCCCCCCCCCCCCCCGGGGGGAGGGGGGGGGGGGGGGT